CGAGTGCTAATCCCTCAGCTGGGGTCCCGACAGGAAGTGCAGGGAGAAGGACTTCCCTGAGGACACATTAACTCACAGTGTTATTATAATGTATAAACAGGAAACACACCTCTTTAAAATTACACCATATTTGAAATATATATATATATATATATATTTATATATATATATATATTTTACTCACTGCAGAAAGAAGTACAGTTTTACCTCTGGGGTGGGTGTTTTCTGTCGCAGTGTAAATTATGCTGAGCTGCTTTAAAGAGTCCTCTCCTGCTGATGTTCAGGTGTATATCAGTATGTAGTGTCTCTACTTTAAAGAGTCCTTTCCTGCTGATGTTCAGGTGTATATCAGTATGTAGTGTCTCTACTTTAAAGAGTCCTCTCCTGCTGATGTTCAGGTGTATAACAGTATGTAGTGTCTCTACTTTAAAGAGTCCTTTCCTGCTGATGTTCAGGTGTATATCAGTATGTAGTGTCTCTACTTTAAAGAGTCCTCTCCTGCTGATGTTCAGGTGTATATCAGTATGTAGTGTCTCTACTTTAAAGAGTCCTCTCCTGCTGATGTTCAGGTGTATATCAGTATGTAGTGTCTCTACTTTAAAGAGTCCTTTCCTGCTGATGTTCAGGTGTATATCAGTATGTAGTGTCTCTACTTTAAAAAGTCCTCTCTTGCTGATGTTCAGGTGTATATCAGTATATAGTGTCTCTACTTTAAAGAGTCCTTTCCTGCTGATGTTCAGGTGTATATCAGTATGTAGTGTCTCTACTTTAAAGAGTCCTCTCCTGCTGATGTTCAGGTGTATAACAGTATGTAGTGTCTCTACTTTAAAGAGTCCTTTCCTGCTGATGTTCAGGTGTATATCAGTATGTAGTGTCTCTACTTTAAAGAGTCCTCTCCTGCTGATGTTCAGGTGTATATCAGTATGTAGTGTCTCTACTTTAAAGAGTCCTCTCCTGCTGATGTTCAGGTGTATATCAGTATGTAGTGTCTCTACTTTAAAGAGTCCTTTCCTGCTGATGTTCAGGTGTATATCAGTATGTAGTGTCTCTACTTTAAAAGTCCTCTCTTGCTGATGTTCAGGTGTATATCAGTATATAGTGTCTCTACTTTAAAGAGTCCTTTCCTGCTGATGTTCAGGTGTATATCAGTATGTAGTGTCTCTACTTTAAAGAGTCCTCTCCTGCTGATGTTCAGGTGTATATCAGTATGTAGTGTCTCTACTTTAAAGAGTCCTCTCCTGCTGATGTTCAGGTGTATATCAGTATGTAGTGTCTCTACTTTAAAGAGTCCTCTCCTGCTGTTGTTCAGGTGTATATCAGTATGTAGTGTCTCTACTTTAAAGAGTCCTCTCCTGCTGATGTTCAGGTGTATATCAGTATGTAGTGTCTCTACTTTAAAGAGTCCTCTCCTGCTGATGTTCAGGTGTATATCAGTATGTAGTGTCTCTACTTTAAAGAGTCCTCTCCTGCTGATGTTCAGGTGTATGTCAGTATGTAGTGTCTCTACTTTAAAGAGTCCTCTCCTGCTGATGTTCAGGTGTATATCAGTATGTAGTGTCTCTACTTTAAAGAGTCCTCTCCTGCTGTTGTTCAGGTGTATATCAGTATGTAGTGTCTCTACTTTAAAGAGTCCTCTCCTGCTGATGTTCAGGTGTATATCAGTATGTAGTGTCTCTACTTTAAAGAGTCCTCTCCTGCTGTTGTTCAGGTGTATATCAGTATGTAGTGTCTCTACTTTAAAGAGTTCTCTCCTGCTGATGTTCAGGTGTATATCAGTATGTAGTGTCTCTACTTTAAAGAGTCCTCTCCTGCTGATGTTCAGGTGTATATCAGTATGTAGTGTCTCTACTTTAAAGAGTCCTCTCCTGCTGATGTTCAGGTGTATATCAGTATGTAGTGTCTCTACTTTAAAGAGTCCTCTCCTGCTGATGATCAGGTGTATATCAGTATGTAGTGTCTCTACTTTAAAGAGTCCTCTCCTGCTGATGTTCAGGTGTATATCAGTATGTAGTGTCTCTACTTTAAAGAGTTCTCTCCTGCTGATGTTCAGGTGTATATCAGTATGTAGTGTCTCTACTTTAAAGAGTCCTCTCCTGCTGATGTTCAGGTGTATATCAGTATGTAGTGTCTCTACTTTAAAGAGTCCTCTCCTGCTGTTGTTCAGGTGTATATCAGTGTGTAGTGTCTCTACTTTAAAGAGTCCTCTCCTGCTGATGTTCAGGTGTATATCAGTATGTAGTGTCTCTACTTTAAAGAGTCCTCTCCTGCTGATGTTCAGGTGTATATCAGTATGTAGTGTCTCTACTTTAAAGAGTCCTCTCCTGCTGATGTTCAGGTGTATATCAGTATGTAGTGTCTCTACTTTAAAGAGTTCTCTCCTGCTGATGTTCATGTGTATATCAGTATGTAGTGTCTCTACTTTAAAGAGTCCTCTCCTGCTGATGTTCAGGTGTATATCAGTATGTAGTGTCTCTACTTTAAAGAGTTCTCTCCTGCTGATGTTCATGTGTATATCAGTATGTAGTGTCTCTACTTTAAAGAGTCCTCTCCTGCTGATGTTCAGGTGTATATCAGTATGTAGTGTCTCTACTTTAAAGAGTCCTCTCCTGCTGATGTTCAGGTGTATATCAGTATGTAGTGTCTCTACTTTAAACAGTCCTCTCCTGCTCCTCTATGTTTAGAGATGTAGGGTCTTTCCTGCACTTATTCCTGGCTTATGTTTTTTCCCAGCATGCACTGGGACAAGACTGGTCGATATTCTTTTCGAGCTGCGTCAACAAACTCTGTGCTTTCTTATTTCCTAAAAACAGTTCCTCCTCCTCTGCAGCCACAGTTACATAATGACACAGATGCATCTCCTCCCAAACACAGAGATAAACAACACACACACACACACACACACACACACACTTACACACACACACACACACACACACTTACACACACACACACACACACACACACACACACACACACACACACACACACACACACACACACATACACACACGCACACAGAGAGAGACTGAAGACAGTAAATGAGAGGCTTTCAGACACGCATGCAGCGTGTCTGAAAGCCTCTCATTTACTGTGTGAGAGGTAAATGCTACAGTATATGTGTATATGTGTGTTTGCAATTATGTATGCATGCATTACAACTCATATTCAGGTGTGTGTACAGTCAGCAAATATGTAGTGAACACAAATGTAATCACAATCCATGCATAAAGAGACATGAAAAGTGCCAGCCTGGTAAAAATGACGTGTGTACGTTTACAGATAACATTTGTTTTTGACGTGTCTCAAAAAGGTCTATTCAAACACTGAAAAAGTTAGATGGAAATCCAGGACAATTTTGTGGTCTTTCTGATATAAACAATAACTTATTTTAAGGTATTACAATGTAAATAAAAGTAAAGTAAATAGATGTTAGTAAGAAATAAAAGAATTGTATACAGTATTGTCATGGCTTGTATCCACTCAGAACGTCTCTATACTGTATGTGTGCTACTTAATACTTGATATACTTACCTTTTTGTCATATACTGTAAGAAGTGTGTGTGTGTGTGTGTGTGTGTGTGTGTGTGTGTGTGTGTGTGTGTGTGTGTGCGTGTGTGTGTGTGTGTGTGCGTGTGTGTGTGTGCGTGCATGCGTGTGTGTGTGGTGTGATACCTGCCCCTTAAGAGCAAATGCTGCCTTCCTAGCGTCCTGAGAAGAACTGAGCGGACATTTAGCTGAGGTCTGCAGGGTACATTAGAGCGCTAATAATATAACTAACTATAGGGGAAAGTGTGTGTGTGTGTTTGTGTGTGTGTGTGTGTGTGTTTGTGTGTGTGTGTGTGTGTGTGTGTGTGTGTGTGGCCTATCATTACTATACTTGTGGGGACCTACATCTGTTTACACAGTCACGTGTGGGGACTCGCCTCCCTTATGGGGACAAATTGGAGGTCCCCATGAGGGGAATCATTAATTTGAGGGTGAAGACTTGGTTAGGGTTAGGGTTAGGGTTAGGGTTAGGCATGTGTTGGTTATGGTTAAGGTTAGGATAAGTCTCCAGGAAATGCATGTAAGTCAATGTAATGTCCCCTGAAGTGATGTATACATGGTATGTGTGTGTGTGTGTGTGTGTGTGTGTGTGTGTGTGGTGCTGTCTCAGTTGTAACACCACACTATTAACCTGTAGTCTAATCGGTGCTGACCTTGTTTTAGAGAAGCCTTCAGAGACCCCAGAGGAGTCTGAATGTGCATTAAAAATGTGATTAAACACTTTAAGGCAACTAGCAATCTATTTCCTTCTAGATCAAATTGATTAATCATGATTTCTTTCCTCAATTGAAAAAGGGGACAATACCCATTAAAAGTCTGTTATTGAGCCTATTCAGCGTTCGGGGATATTAAACTGCAACAAAAAAAGGCCACTTCTCAAATTTAAGAAACTAGAACTTCGGGTATGTTTCTATTGAAATATTACACATGTTCAACCTAGAAAATATAGATTAGACCAAAGCTGACAGGAGGCAAACAACAGCAAAGTAAGTGTTTCGTTCAACAGTCAAATCAAGACTTGGATCCCTAATAATTAAACACACAATATGTCATATCTGCTGCCATTGACCTCTCAATCAAAACACCAAGAAAAGACAGAGTTTGGCAGTGTTGTGAAGTACTGAAGGATCATGGGAGTTGTAGTCTTCATCCCATATTGTCCCCATAGTCTGCTTCTTCTTAACCTTTCCTCTTTAGGAGCTGTATCATCCAGTTAAAATATAAACAGATATACACACTATGCAACATGTAGTTAAGACAGATATGTGGCTGAGAACTGCATAAAAAGTCACTTTATGACAACTTCAGTGCAAAAGATAACACCACAATAACGCTTGAGGTGCCAAAAGATTACGACTTACTCCGCATGAATTGGACAACAGATGAGTGTAATATCTCCCCCTCTCTCCCCCTCTCTCCCCTCTTTCTCCCCCGTCTGCCCCCCCCCTCATCAGAAACACAAGGTGGACCTGTTCTATAAGGTGCGTCACGTGATGCTGGAGCTGCTGGACCTGAGGAGGCAGATGCTGTCGGGTCACCTGACGCAGGAGCAGAGCCGAGACGTGAAGAGACACATCACTGTGAGGCTGGACTGGGGCAACGAGTGAGGACGCACACACACATACACACACACACACATGCACACACACACACACACACACACACACACACACACGCACACACACACACACACACACACACACACACACACACACACACACACACACACACACACAGACACACACACACACAGAGAGAGAGAGAGAGAGACATGGCTGTGAGGCTGGACTGGGGCAACGAGTGAGGACACACATACACATACACACACACACACACACAGAGAGAGAGAGAGAGACACACACACACACACACACACACACACACACACACACACACACACACACACACACACACACAGAGAGAGAGAGAAACACACAGAGAGAGAGAGACACACACACACTCACTGAGAGAGAGACACACCCACCCACACACACACACACACAGATACAAACACACAAACAAACACACACAAACTCACACATTCACATACACACACACATACACACACACACACACACACACACACACAGAGACACACACATTCACACACACAGAGACACACACTTTACACACACTGACAGGTGTTGACAGAGATTTAAAGAGAAGAGAAGTTGAGATTGAAAATGTATATGCGCTTATCCATTTAAGGGTTAATATGCAAGACATACATAAAGAAGCATTTGTTAAATAAGTGATAAAGTCATAAAGATGTTGATGGTTATAATACAAGATGTCTAATATTCTAACACAAATCAACTGATGAATGCAATGTTAGAACAAATACATAGATGTTAATAATTGGGATTATACAAGGCAGCATATTTAAATGCAAAAAGACACACACGTCTTTTGTTCTCGTGTTAGGAGCACAAACTGTATTTCACAAAAGGATGTGAGGCAGGAATAGCAGTGGCTGCAAAGGCTCATGGGAGATTGTCAAAGAGCTGATGGAAAACAAACGAAAAGGAGAGAAATTGACCCGGGATTGAGTTATTTATCCTGAGAGGTGTGCGACCCAGACCTGAAGCATCTTAATGTTTCCTCTGGAGTCTCGCTCAAACATAATTAACCTCCTCTACCACCGAACACACAGAAATAAAACCTTTTGTTTTTAAATCACATTTACAGAAACCGTTTACTGCGTCTTTAAGAGCCGGGTCGAAGGTCAGCTGCTTTTGTGATTGAACAGAAAGTAATCCTCAGGAACAATAACCCCCCCCGAGGCAGCATCTAAAATTACTTAGATTGAGTGTGTGTGTGTGTGTGTGTGTGTGTGTGTGTGTGTGTGTGTGTGTGTGTGTGTGTGTGTGTGTGTGTGTGTGTGTGTGTGTGTGTGTGTGTGTGTGTGTGTGTGTGTGTGTGTGTGTGTGTGTGTGTGTGTGTGTGAGGTTTTTAAAGGTTATATGAGGAACATTGATCAACTCATTTTTCATCTCTTTAAATATATTTTGGGGATTTGAGAAGTAATGTTTTACATGGCGTTGTGGCAGCAAATGCATTCATAAGGAGCAGCCTCTTCTGGGTTTAAAAAGTGAAAATCTACCAGGAGGGGGTTCATTATTCACAAATACAAGTTTGATTGTATAGAAGTCTCTGAGAAAATGAGCCTTGCTTCAAACCTGTTAAACCCCGGGGACCCTGTTTTTTTTTTTTCACGACACTGTGTCTCAGGGGATCTTAATATTTAAGAACCTATTAATGTGTTATACCAGATTAACAGAAATAATCTCAGCTAACTGACGATACAAACCATTTTAACCAAAACAAAACACAAGTCTCATAAGAAGCATCTAAATGACCCCTGAGCGAAAAATGCTAACAGACATTGGCACAGAACTCAAGATAAAAGTACCCTTATTACTTATCGTAGCTGCACATACAAGATATCCGATTAAAGCTGAGGTTCAACAGATTATTTAGGTATATAGTATCATCACTGAGTGATCTGAACTCGCGACAGGGGAAGCAAACACAGACATCACAACACGTACCTTTACGGAGCTTCTAGGGGAGATCGTCTCACCGTAGCTGTCAATCTGATCAAAAGACGTGTTCCATGGCATTAAAACGAGAAAAAACGCAGCTGAATCGGTTAATCCATAGGTTTTTAACGTCTATGTATAAAAAAAATATTTCATTTATAATCCATAATTCCATTTTTATGTAAAAATCGGAGAGCAAAAGTTAGCTGCTAATGGTAGCCACCAGAGTGGCTGCTGCTTCTGGTCTTGGCTATGCGGCAGTCTCACACACACATTACCAAATAAGGACTATGTGGGAGTTTCCCTCGATTCCATTGGCTCTGACGATCAGAAAGAGATGTCACATGTCAAAATCCAGCAAGGGGGGCCAGAGATATGGAACATCCACCCAAATGGCCCCAGAAGAGGGTTTTTTTTGCTAAATCTGTCTAAAAAGGTCAAATATCACTTGTTTTGCATCAATCTTGATACAGGGTACTTATTATATGTTGTACTTTGGATTCCTAAAGCTTTTAGTCTACTAACCCATCATCCAAGGTTAGTTTTCACTATAAGTACAACATTTATTTTGGACGGACACTATAATTTACAGTTTTTTACCATGTTCAATCTGAATTTTCTTTAAAATAAAAAACTTTGAGAAAAAATATTATTAATGTAACCCTTTTAGAAGGGAAGATATGGTCATTTGTTCTGGGAATGTCATTTTCGAGCCTGAAACCTGAAAAACAGGCTCAGGGTTTAACAGGTTAAGAAATAATTGTCCTGATTGAGACAATGAGTGAATTGTCTCGATCTCAAAAGTATGTTTCAATGGTCATTTCGTACATTATAGCCCTCTTTAAACCAGACGATAAAGAACAGTAAGCAGAATAGGTCAGATTGAATAGAAGTCTATGAGAAAATGAGCCTTGCTTAAGTAAACATTTTCCTGATGAGTTTATGCCCTCAATCTCTAGTTTTAAGTCTTCTTCAACACAGCACAATTTTCATTTAGTAGTTTATAACCCTCTTTAAAATAGACAACAAATCAGAGTAGGCAGAGCAAGTCAGATTGAATAGAAGTCTATGAGAAAATGAACCAACTTCTCACTTGATTTCTTACCTCAGTAAACATTGTCCTGATGAGTTTATGGTCTCGATCTCTAGTCTTAGGTCTTCTTCAATACAGCTTGATGTTCATTTAGTAAATGATGGTCCAATTATGTATTTCAACCATAACCCTTTCACAGTTTTTTATTAACTTTATCAAAGTGAGGCATAACATTTTGGTCGCCTAAAATGTCTTTCAATTTTGGGTACTTTTTTATTTTATTTATTTATTTGTTAATCAACACTCTATGTGTTTACATTTTGTATTATAATCCCCATTAATATGATTATTATTCATATATCATTTTGTATCTATTTCCATTCTAGTACTTTTGTAGTTAAATATGTTTTTATTTTCTTCACATAAAAAAAAGTACTGCTTTCGAGTTTAAGACATGTTTCTATGTTATATTTTATTCATAATATGATTGTAGTTTGAACAATACATGCACGGTCACTACAGGTCAATAAATAATAAGTAAATTAATCTTTAGATCTTGTATTGTACATTTGTTTTTGTTGCTGTTGTGTAATAGAAGCTTCAAATGAAGAACCAAGTGGGTCTGAACGACATGTTTACTTTATATTTATTAATTTAACAGTTTCCAACTAGAACGGTGGAAGACGGAGAAAATGCACTCGACATACTCGTATTAATTTCTATATCAAAACAGGAAGGAGCAAAAGCAGGACACATACTTACACTTTTTTACTTCAACATTTGACCCTTAACTTCTGTGAAGAAGCAAATAAACAAATGTTTTTACTGCCTTAAATAAAAGAAGTTACAACAGTTGCAAACTATTGTCAACATCGAATGAATGTTATCTGCGTAGATTAATATTTAAATGATCTCCTCCTCTCTCTTTCAGACACATGGGTCTGGACCTGGTGCCCAGGAAGGAGTTTGAGATGGTGGATGAAGACCAGATCAGCGTGTCAGATCTTTATAAGATGGTAAGTTGAAAATATAATACATATATGTTTGTGGGGGAAACTTCTGAAGCAATTGGAAACAGGACTCAGAGAGGCACGAGGAGAGCTGGAGCTTTGATGGCAAACACTGACGGTTTATTTGGAGCCTCGGCCGGAGAGACATGTGGTGTGTCACGAGTTGCCAAACCAATTCTGAAGAACTCTTCTGTAGCTCCAGGTTTTAACTAGTTCGGAGTGTGATAATCAACATTCTTCATCAGCGAGACTAAACAAATATGGACCCTGAATCTAACTAGAGCTCTCGTCCATAGAAAATAATGTGCGCCAGGGAACCTACGTCCCTGAACAGTAAACTACCTCATGGCGGCTTGTGCTCATAGACTGGCAACAACAATGCGCCCAAGCTGCCCCTCCTTCAGAGAGATAGCAGCAATACCCAAGGCCGTAGACCTATGCCGTGGGAAAGGAGACAGTGAAGAGAGAAAACGATGAACTGGGTCGAAGGTTGAATACCTAAGCAAATTATTCCATAACACTGTTAATAATTGAGTTTTTGGGAGAAGGGTTTGGATTAAATAAGTGAAAACTTCTTCCCACCCCTTTTCGGATTTGTGTAATTAGGTAGTTCATTTGTTCATATATAATTTGATACTGCTTGAGTTTGTATATAATCATAATTCTCATGTTTCATTTCAGTATTAATATAAATGTTTTGTATTATTGTTTTACATGTTCGAAATACATTTGAGTAAAGTGCAATCATTTTAGAGAAACACTTAATAATAATAATAATAATAATAATAATAATAATAATAATAATACATTTGATTTATATAGCACTTTTCCTGGTGCTCAAAGTGCTTGTTTTAATGAAACACAACTGCAGCTATACTTGTTTTTGAGTGAGTTTCTGCGATGTGAGGAGTATTGTTGGATGTTCCTGATGTTCATCGGTCCGGCTTTTAATAGCCGAGCTGCAGCCATAAAACTCCGTCGTCGTGGTGATTCCTCTTTGTTGCGTTGCCTAGAGACTGATGTGGGGACGGGAAAGAGAGAAAGTGTTAAAGTTGATGGATGGGGAACAGACACTATTGAGGAGAAGACTGTCCTTTTTTTATTTACTTCACATACTGTTTCAGAACCACGATTAAATACAAATACATAAAGAAAAACTAATGTAAAGTTAAAGAGTCCTCTCCTGCTGATGTTCAGGTGTATATCAGTATGTAGTGTCTCTACTTTAAAGAGTCCTCTCCTGTTGATGTTCAGGTGTATATCAGTATGTAGTGTCTCTACTTTAAAGAGTCCTCTCCTGCTGATGTTCAGGTGTATATCAGTATGTAGTGTCTCTACTTTAAAGAGTCCTCTCCTGCTGATGTTCAGGTGTATATCAGTATGTAGTGTCTCTACTTTAAAGAGTCCTCTCCTGCTGATGTTCAGGTGTATATCAGTATGTAGTGTCTCTACTTTAAAGAGTCCTCTCCTGCTGATGTTCAGGTGTATATCAGTATGTAGTGTCTCTACTTTAAAGAGTCCTCTGCTGCTGATGTTCAGGTGTATATCAGTATGTAGTGTCTCTACTTTAAAGAGTCCTCTCCTGCTGATGTTCAGGTGTATATCAGTATGTAGTGTCTCTACTTTAAAGAGTCCTCTCCTGCTGATGTTCAGGTGTATCTCAGTATGTAGTGTATCTACTTTAAAAGAGTCCTCTCCTGCTAATGTTCAGGTGTATATCAGTATGTAGTGTCTCTACTTTAAAGAGTCCTCTCCTGCTGATGTTTAGGTGTATATCAGTATGTAGTGTCTCTACTTTAAAGAGTCCTCTCCTGCTGATGTTCAGGTGTATATCAGTATGTAGTGTCTCTACTTTAAAGAGTCCTCTCCTGCTGACGTTCAGGTGTATCAGTTTGTAGAGTCTCTTTTCACCCTCTGTCTGAAAGCAGAGCCTGCTCTGATTGGTTAGCTCGCCAGCTCTGTTGTGATTGGTCAACCTGAAGTAACGTTTTGTTTCTTTCTGTGTTTCCCCAGCACCTCTCCAGCAGACACAGCGTCCAACAGAGCACCACACAGGTAAGTACTGCTGTAAAATGAGTGTAAACACATTAAAAGTATACCCAAGCTCTCAAATACCGTACTTTACTTCCCCAGAATGCACCACAGTTACTATTCCCTATTCCTGATTTAACGTAATCCTCTGAATTACATAAAGACACCACAAATACATTATACTTTAATAATTCAGCTCCTGCACAGTTTGTACTTTCACTATAGTCATATCATTAATACTTCAACTTGAAACGTGCTTTATAGAAAACAGCCTTGTCCCGTCTAAGTCAATATTACAGCGTTAATATTCCTTTTTTGTACAGGACAGACATGGTTAAAGGCTGCTAATGTTTGATATAAATGATACATCTCACTATCTTGTGTTGTGGTGAGTTCAGGCTGACAGTAGTTTGTGGTATGTTCAGGCCGACAGTACAGTAGTTTGTGGTGAGTTCAGGCCGACGGTAGTTTGTGGTATGTTCAGGCCGACGGTAGTTTGTGGGGTGTTCAGGCCGACGGTAGTTTGTGGTGTGTTCAGGCCGACGGTAGTTTGTGGGGTGTTCAGGCCGACGGTAGTTTGTGGTGTGTTCAGGCCGACGGTAGTTTGTGGTGTGTTCAGGCCGACGGTAGTTTGTGGTGTGTTCAGGCTGACGGTAGTTTGTGGTGTGTTCAGGCCGACAGTAGTTTGTGGAGTGTTCAGGTTGACGGTAGTTTGTGGTGTGTTCAGGCTGATAGTAGTTTGTGGTGTGTTCAGGCTGACGGTAGTTTGTGGTGTGTTCAGGCTGACGGTAGTTTGTGTGTGTTCAGGCTGACGGTAGTTTGTGGTGTGTTCAGGCTGACGGTAGTTTGTGGTGTGTTCAGGCTGATAGTAGTTTGTGGTGTGTTCTAGCAGCTGACGGTAGTTTGTGGTGTGTTCAGGCTGACAGTAGTTTGTGGTGTGTTCAGGCTGACAGTAGTTTGTGGTGTGTTCAGGCTGACGGTAGTTGTGGTGTGTTCAGGCTGACGGTAGTTTGTGTGTGTTCACAGGCTGACGGTAGTTTGTGGTGTGTTCAGGCTGACGGTAGTTTGTGGTGTGTTCAGGCTGACAGTAGTTTGTGGTGTGTTCAGGCTGACAGTAGTTTGTGGTGTGTTCAGGCTGACAGTAGTTTGTGGTGTGTTCAGGTTGACGGTAGTTTGTGGTGTGTTCAGGCTGATAGTAGTTTGTGGTGTGTTCAGGCTGACGGTAGTTTGTGGTGTGTTCAGGCTGACAGTAGTTTGTGGTGTGTTCAGGCTGACGGTAGTTTGTGGTGTGTTCAGGCTGACGGTAGTTTGTGGTGTGTTCAGGCTGACGGTAGTTTGTGGTGTGTTCAGGCTGACGGTAGTTTGTGGTGTGTTCAGGCTGACAGTAGTTTGTGGTGTGTTCAGGCTGACAGTAGTTTGTGGTGTGTTCAGGCTGACGGTAGTTTGTGGTGTGTTCAGGCTGACGGTAGTTTGTGGTGTGTTCAGGCTGACGGTAGTTTGTGGTGTGTTCAGGCCAACAGTAGTTTGTGGTGTGTTCAGGCTGACAGTAGTTTGTGGTGTGTTCAGGCCAACAGTAGTTTGTGGTGTGTTCAGGCTGACGCTAGTTTGTGGTGTGTTCAGGCTGACGGTAGTTTGTGGTGTGTTCAGGCCAACAGTAGTTTGTCGAGTGTTCAGGCTGACAGTAGTTTGTGGTGTGTTCAGGCCAACAGTAGTTTGTGGTGTGTTCAGGCTGACGCTAGTTTGTGGTGTGTTCAGGCTGATGGTAGTTTGTGGTGTGTTCAGGCTGACAGTAGTTTGTGGTGTGTTCAGGCTGACAGTAGTTTGTGGTGTGTTCAGGCTGACAGTAGTTTGTGGTGTGTTCAGGCTGACTGTAGTTTGTGGTGTGTTCAGGCTGACGGTAGTTTGTGGTGTGTTCAGGCTGACGGTAGTTTGTGGTGTGTTCAGGCTGACGGTAGTTTGTCGAGTGTTCAGGCCAACAGTAGTTTGTGGTGCGTTCAGGGCTGACAGTAGTTGTGGTGTGTTCAGGCTGACAGTAGTTTGTGGTGTTATTCAGGCTGACAGTAGTTTGTGGTGTGTTCAGGCTGACAGTAGTTTTGTGGTGTGTTCAGGCTGACAGTAGTTTGTGGTGTGTTCAGGCTGACTGTAGTTTGTGGTGTGTTCAGGCTGACGGTAGTTTGTGGTGTGTTCAGGCTGACGGTAGTTTTGTGGTGTGTTCAGGCTGACAGTAGTTTGTGGTGTGTTCAGGCTGACAGTAGTTTGTGGTGTGTTCAGGCCGACGGTAGTTTGTGGTGTGTTCAGGCCGACAGTAGTTTGTGGTGTGTTCAGGCCGACGGTAGTTTGTGGTGTGTTCAGGCCGACGGTAGTTTGTGGTGAGTTCAGGCTGACAGTAGTTTGTGGTGTGTTCAGGCTGACAGTAGTTTGTGGTGTGTTCACGCTGACAGTAGTTTGTGGTGTGTTCAGGCTGACGGTAGTTTGTGGTGTGTTCAGGCTGATAGTAGTTTGTGGTGTGTTCAGGCTGACAGTAGTTTGTGGTGTGTTCAGGCTGACAGTAGTTTGTGGTGTGTTCAGGCTGACGGTAGTTTGTGGTGTGTTCACGCTGACAGTAGTTTGTGGTGTGTTCAGGCTGACAGTAGTTTGTGGTGTGTTCAGGCTGATGGTAGTTTGTGGTGTGTTCAGGCTGACGGTAGTTTATGGTGTGTTCAGGCTGACGGTAGTTTGTGGTGTGTTCAGGCTGACGGTAGTTTGTGGTGTGTTCAGGCTGATGGTAGTTTGTGGTGTGTTCAGGCTGATGGTAGTTTGTGGTGTGTTCAGGCTGATGGTAGTTTGTGGTGTGTTCAGGCTGACAGTAGTTTGTGGTGTGTTCACGCTGACGGTAGTTTGTGGTGTGTTCAGGCTGATGGTAGTTTGTGGTGTGTTCAGGCTGACGGTAGTTTGTGGTGTGTTCAGGCTGACGGTAGTTTGTGGTGTGTTCAGGCTGATGGTAGTTTGTGGTGTGTTCAGGCTGATGGTAGTTTGTGGTGTGTTCAGGCTGATGGTAGTTTGTGGTGTGTTCAGGCTGATGGTAGTTTGTGGTGTGTTCAGGCTGATGGTCGGGGTCAGAGACACGGTGAGCCCTGCAGAGTGCCGGTGCCTCACCACCTGCTGGTCAACCTGAAGAGCTTCACCTACAACAGCATCGGAGAGGACACGGACATCTTCTTCTCTCTGTACGACCTGAGGGAGGGCAAGACCATCAGGTACACACACACACACACACACACACACACACACACACACACACACACACACACACACACACACACACACACACACACACACACACACACACACACAATGTTAGAAAATAATCACTGGTCCCCGGCTTGAGCTTCAACCTCAGGATCCATGTGTCTGTGATCCTCTCCAGAATGGAAGGAGTCATCACATACAGAGCATCAACTAGTTCCTGAACAGTGTCCTTCACATGCTGATATCCAAGAGAGGGAGTTACACAGTCACAAGATGGAGGAATGCCGGTTCTTCATCCTGTCATGAACAAAATACTGACTTCTCAAAATTCGGACTTTTTCTGAATACTTCAAAATGTTAATCATCACTCGTCACCGGCTTGAGCTTCAATATAAAAATATAGATTAAAGCTGCTTTAAGTAGTATGTTAAAGCGTGTACCGGGTGTATATCATATGTACAGTGCTCTACATAGCCTTTCACCCACTCTCTCTCCCTCTCACACACACACACACACACACACACACACACACACACACACACACACACACACACACACACACACACACACACACACACACACACACACACACACACACACACACACACACACACACACAGACACACACACACACACACATACACACACACACACCTGACAAAATGCTGATCTGTGAGAGGCCACACGGAGCTGCAGTGAATTAAACATGACCTCCATAATGACTCATTAATTATTCATCAGTGGAGAAATCATAATGCTAACAGTTAGGGGATGGCTAATGTCAACAATGAGCATTCAGTTATTATGCTCCAAATATCTGGAACAAACTCCCAGAAACCTGCAGGTCCGCTGCAACTCTGACTACTTTTAAATCCAGGCTGAAGACTTTTCTTTTTGTCGCTGCTTTTAATTGAACTATTCATATCTTAGACTGCACTGTAACTTTTATCCATGTACTTTTTTCTTTTAATGTTTAATTGACAGCACTGTAACTTTTATCCATGTATTTTTTCTTTTAATGTTTATTTTATTAGCTTTTCTTTTTAATGACTGATTTTAAATGCCATTTTCTGAATGTCTTTCATTTTTTGTAAAGCACTTTGAATTGCCTTGTGTTGAAAAGTGCTATATAAATAAACTTGCCTTGCCTTGCCTTGCCTTGATGTAGTCCAACTGTTAAGGTGTGTGTGTGTGTGTGTGTGTGTGTGTGTGTGTGTGTGTGTGTGTGTGTGTGTGTGTGTGTGTGTGTGTGTGTGTGTGTGTGTGTGTGTGTTATTGCAAAGGAGAGTACAGTTCACAGTAAGATCAATGAGAAAATTATAGATATGTTTGCAGAAAGGGAGTTGTTTCTTTCTGTCCTCTGTACACACACACACACACACACACACACACACACACACACACACACACACACACACACACACACACACACACATTTGACCTTGGCAGGGTTTGCTGACTCAGCATCAGGGTGTAATGACAACACCTGCTCCTCTGAGACTTAGATGGAAGAGGAGAGGAAACACAGGAAGAGAGGAGAGGAAACATGATAGGAGAGGAAATGAGAGATAAATAAAAACAAAAGATGGAGGAAAGAGGAATCAATGAATGAGAAAAGAGGAGAGAGGAAACTATACAGAGGAAATAGAAGCGTGGATAGAGAGTGAGAAGGAGCCAAAAGATAAGAGGAGAGGAGAGAGAGGAAACACAAGCTCTGCTCTGATTGGTTAGTTAGACGGTTCTGTTGTGATTGGTTAACCACTTAGAGATGTCCCGCCTCCTTAGCCTAACACGTACAATGTGTTGGAGCGCTAGCCAATAGGAGCACGAGTGTTCAATCGTGATGTCTCTATGTTAAGGAAGTAAAGTAAGGAGTCAAATGGAGGCGTTTCAGGGAGATTTTAGCCTTTGCAGACCATTTACATAACGCACTACACGAAAGAGAGAGAGAGTGTGTGTGTGTGTGTGTGTGTGTGTGTGTGTGTGTGTGTGTGTGTGTGTGTGTGTGTGTGTGTGTGTGTGTGTGTGTGTGTGTGTGTGTGTGTGTACTATGATGCATTGCTGTACAATCAGAATCAAAATACTCTTTTTTATCCCAGGTGGGGGGATTGGGATCCGTTTTAGAATAACATAAAATACGTTCAAAACACTTAATTAAATATTTATATAAAGATAAGAAGTTAGAATAAAATGTCCATTTTTTGAAGATTAAATAAAATATATTTATCTACAAATATCTAATAACAGTTGAAACAATTAAATAAAGATATTTCTATAAATATAAGAGTCTAAATTAATATTTCCA